GCGTGAAACGCCCTCCCGAGCGGCGCTTCCGCCCCGACCCAGCACTTCTGCCCCGCAAGGATGAGATACTTCCGGTGCGCCGACCGGAAGCGGAAATAGCGCGTGGCGCCGCGGCGGGCGCCGGACAGAGGGGAGCGCAGCCGCCGATATGGCTGGGATCTTGTTCGAGGATATTTTCGACGTGAAGGACATCGACCCCGAGGGCAAGAAGTTCGACCGGGGTGAGCAGAGTCGGGACAACCCCCCCCTCCCCCCCGCTGCACGCGCATCACGCCCCTTTTACCCCAGGCCACGCCCCTCCGGGCCCTGATCCCCGCTCTGCCCACAGTGTCCCGCCTGCACTGCGAGAGCGAGTCCTTCAAGATGGACCTGATCCTGGACGTCAACATCCAGATCTACCCCGTGGACCTGGGTAGGTGGCGGGGCTGGGTGGGGAAGTGTACCCCCCTCCTTCCCAGGCGCGCGCACAGCCGTACCGGGGTGTCGCAGCCCCCCTGCTCCGGCGCTGACCCCGCGGGTTACAGGTGACAAGTTCCGCCTGGTCATCGCCAGCACCTTGTACGAGGACGGGACACTGGACGACGGCGAGTACAACCCCACGGATGACCGGCCCTCCAGGTAGCGGGGCAGGCACGGAGCTGGTAAAGGAGGGGGAAGGAGCGGAGCGGCAGCAGGGCAGCATGTGCTGTCTCCGTTGGGGGAGACCCATGGTTCCTAGCGCTCCTGATGGAGCTTCCTCGTGGAGGGTCAGTAAAAGAGCCCCGCTCCTCCTCCTGGCCTCTGCGCAGCCTTGTCTGCTTGCTCCTTCCTTTCTGCCTGCAGCCTGGTTTTGTTTCAAACCTCTACCTTGTGTATTTATGGTGCTCCTCCCTGCTGCATCCGACCGGGTCGCTGCCTGTTCTCTCTGGGGCTCTGTGGTTCTTGGCCAGGGCTCCGTGTCAAGGGCACAGATACATCGTTGGCATATCAGATCAGCACCGATTTTAAAAGGACAATTAACATTATCGGTGGTCAGCTTTTTTTGGGCAGTGTAGCTGATAACATCACCGACTAAATGCCACGTGCATGCAAGCAGCTGCAGCCTGCGCTCCACCAGGAGTGCAGCCTGGCACTGTGGAGAGCAGCATCTGACTGGTAAGTCTGTGGGAGGGAAGGGGTGTGGGGGCAGATTGAGGCCCCCACGGTGAGGGAAGGAGTAGGGCAGGGGCAGGCACTGTACAGCTGGGGCAGTGAATGGGCCCCCAAGGTGAGTCACGGGGTAGAGCTGGCTCCAGGGAGGAGG